GGTATGCCTGTTTCAACCTATAATTTTATATTTTGCCATTAGTTTTCTTGAAAATAATTGATTTGCGACAGTTATAGTGGCTATATGTGTGATCTGCAGCAAAAAATACGCAGTTTGACCCCCTAAAGCAGTGCTTCTGTGTGCGGGAGTACGTCTCCGAATAGTTCCTGGGTGCTCGCCGAAGACGTCTCCGAATGTCTTCTACCTCCTTAAACACGTTGAAGAAGATTTCTTTTTCGTTTTCGTTTTTAACCCTATCCGTACGTCCTGGGGTCATTTTGTATCCACTAGGTTGTATTCTTCACATTTTAGAATATTTCTAGTACGAAGATCTCTTTGAAATTTTCAGTATTTCTCCAAAAATCATTTTGACAGACTGCTATACAAAGAGTACCGATCGGATTAACGAGTAAATTTCCTCTTTGAAAGTGGTGGCACAGAGTTCTCCACGTCATATGGATACGATAGTAAAACACGACGTACGGATAGGGTTAAGGGGTACTTGAGTGCAGTAGGGCATCAACAACGATGTTTCATTGTACATTAAATTCTACAGATAATTGCTGTAAAATGATTTACAACCAATACGATACATTTAATTATAATTGGTAATCTTTTTTTTTATCTGGTACATTACCAATGACGTGTTTTCTCCCAGTTTTTTCAAGACGTTGAAGAGTTCCTCAGGGACGATAAACCCATCGTGGTTTGAATCGAAAGCTTTGAAGACTTCTCGTAGCTCTGCTTCGGGGTCCATGGTTACCTTGCGGGCAAAGATGTCGACAAACTCATCGAAGTCAATGTTGCCGTCTCCTGTGGAGCGGAGGTTAGGGGGTCAGGTGGAAATGTCTTGAGTTTGAGTAAGATTTTCACGACACTAGCAACACAATTGTGATGCAGCATGGGGAAATCAGGCGCTCGTCAAAATATTGAAATTGAAGAAACTGGCATTTTTGCGCCGGCATGGCAATTTTTACTGATTTTTGTTTTTTGGCTCAACACCTTTTATGTCCATTCAAGAACATATTATTTTAGTGTGGACTTTACTGAAAAACGTTGACAAAAGGCACAAAAAATTTACATTTTCAGTTTTTCCAAGACTCCAAAGCTAAGGAAATGGCTTATCTTTGGCAGGCATTTTGTCAATAATTTTATCTCTGAAACCAGGTGACTCCTACCTCCTTTATTCCCAAATATCTTGACTTGCATTAAAGGTAAATAGATACTTTATTCATTCAAAGCAAGACAAATGAACAAGTTTTAAAATGATACCAATAACTCTACATGCCCCAAAAATTAACGAGAGCCTGATTCCACTGCATCATGACACAAATAGGTCATATGGTCGTTGTTAAGCACAAGCGGGCTATCCCAAAAAATTCTGTTTTCAGAAAATCGAGGGTAAAGTTTTTACCCCTTGTTCAGTTTCTTTAAAAGACAAGAGCACTTTCTCTATAACCAAACAAATAGACATCAACAAAACCAACTTCTCCTATAGGTAGGGCAATGCCCACTTTTGGTGTAGGTCAAGATTTCTGGAAATATTGGTTAGCCCTCTTGTCCTTCAAAGTGACCATATACAGGCCGAAGATTAGATGTCTTAAAGGATAATAACATACAAAGAAA